ACCATGATGACTTCTAGGGAGTTGGTCTTGGCTTGAGAAGCCCTGGTCTTCCCAGGTTACTTGTGGTGGGGTAGTAGGAACTCATAAAGGAACATCCGTTTGGAGCCAGTGTTGTACTATAGTGGGTAAAGCTACCACTTGGAACTGCCAGCATCCTATATTGGAATACTGCTTTAAGTCCTTGTTACTCTGCTTCTTATCCAGCTCCCTGCTCATATGGCTGGGAAAGCAGAAGAAGGTGATTCAAGTACTTGGGCCCCTGTCACCCACAGGGGAGACCTTGATGGAGTTCCTGGCTCCTGGCTTCAGCTTGGCCCAATCTCTGATGTTGTGTCCATTTGGGGAGTGAACAGCAGGTGGAAGATGTTTTTCTCTGCCACTCTACTTCTCTCTCTCTCTCTCTCTCTCTCTCTCTCTCTCACTCTGCCTTTCAAATAAATAAATCATAAAAAACACCCATTTAATAGATGAAGACACCAAGGCCATTAACCATTATCATTGTTTTTCCAAAGGTTATCCAAAGAATCAGTAATTCAAAGACCCCACACAGCAAAGCCAAACATCTTTCTGCAAAAATGAACCTTGACGTTTATAGGCAGAGAGTCATTGGGATGGCAGGGACAGAGGTACCAAGTCCTTTTGTCTATAACTCTGCTTTTATAGGTGCAGCTTACTGGTACACATGCAATTGAATAAATAATGTCATAAAACTATGCTGCAAAGATTAAATGAAATAATACATTAGTGTTGTGAAGATGAAATGAGAGAATTTGTTAATGCATGTCAAGTGCATCCCTTCATGCTTGGCCAGAGGTGATAATGATAGTGATTGGGGCCAAACCAGTTGCTTATGGGCAGTTTCTAGGAAGATTGGTTGCTGCCAGAGTATCTTACATAATAAATACTTCACATTTACCTCTGCTCATTCTACGGACTTCCCACCCGTCATTTACTTGCATAGATGCTTTTGATAGGATTCTCACAGGAGATCTTTGAGGGCAGTACCATTATCATTCCCATTTTACAGATGAGAAAACAGATAAAAGGCTGGTAACTTGGCCAAGGTCTTATGGCCAACAAATGGTCGAGCTGGGATTTTAAGTCATATGTCCTGTTTGTAGAACCTTAGGATTTTTTGAAAATTATTTAATTTATTTGAAAGACAGAGTGACAGAAGGAGGGGAGAAACAGAGAGAAAGAAATCATCCATCTGCTGGTTGATCCAAATGGCCACAAAAGCAGGGACGGAACCAGGCCAATGCCAGGAGCCTGGAACTCCATCTGGGTCTCCCATTGGGTGGCAGGTGCCCAAGTACTTGCACCATCTTCTGCTGCTTTCCCAGGTGCATTAGCAGGGAGCTGGATGGGAGGCAGAGCAACCAGGACTCGAAATTCTGATATGAGATGTCAACATTATAGGCAGTGCCTTAACCAGTTGCACCATGGTGTCAGCTCCCAGACCCTTAGGATCTGAATGCCAATGCTGCTCAGTAGAGGGCTATTAGAGACTTGTGGTAGTTGTGGTTAGTATAATTATCATCATCACCATCATCACCATCATGGCTACAACTTTTAACCAGAAAAGGCATAGACAACTTGTTCTTTGGGTTGGTAATAATATGCAGTTTTTTTTAATTTTTGACAGGCAGAGTGGACAGTGAGAGAGAGAGACAGAGAGAAAGGTCTTCCTTTGCCATTGGTTCACCCTCCAATGGCCGCTGTGGCCGGCGCATCGTGCTGGTCTGAAGCCAGGAGCCAGGTGCTTCTCCTGGTCTCCCATGGGGTGCAGGGCCCAAGCACTTGGGCCATCCTCCACTGCACTCCCGGGCCACAGCAGAGAGCTGGCCTGGAAGAGGGGCAACCGGGACAGAATCCGGCGCCCCGACCGGGACTAGAACCCGGTGTGCTGGGGCTGCAAGGCGGAGGATTAGCCTATTGAGCTGTGGCGCCGGCAATATACATATTTTGATAATATGCTACATGCCGCAAGCACTGACTGGCCATGTATGAGGAAAGTTGTCCAGCCTGTTTTGCTCTCCATGTGAATTTGAGTGAAAATGTCGGCTGCGTGGCAGAGGGCAGGAAGATAGAAGCACAGGGGAAGCTTCTCATTGATAACTTCTGCTCGTGACGCTCTTCAGCCCAGGGTGGGTTGAGAGCAGAGAAGGCCTGGTGTCTCTGAGGGCCTCCGTTGTTCCCCCCTGAGTCCTGCTTTACAAAGGACCCGTAGCATGGCTGACGTGGCACCGATCGTTTGGGCACACACGCGATATTGCTTTTTGCTTATGTTTGTATTCTGTGTCTGCAAGGAGACCCATCTTCCTCTCTTTGATATTGTCTTTCTCTGATATTTTGTATGTATCTATCCTCATAAATTGGGAGTGACTCGGAGGAATTCTGGATCACTAGATTGAGCAGAGTTTGCCCAAATGATATGAGGGATTGGGAACGATTGAACCCAGGAATTTCATAATAAAAAGCAAGCTAAAAGGGTATACCACTGGCGCCGCGGCTCACTAGGCTAATCCTCCACCTTGCGGCGCCGGCACACTGGGTTCTAGTCCCAGTCGGGGCGCTGGATTCTGTCCCGGTTGCCCCTCTTCCAGGCCAGCTCTCTGCTGTGGCCCGGGAGTGCAGTGGAGGATGGCCCAAGTGCTTGGGCCCTGCACCCCATGGGAGACCAGGAGAAGCACCTGGCTCCTGGCTTCAGATCAACGCGATGCTCCAGCTGCAGCACACCGGCCACGGCCGCCATTGGAGGGTGAACCAATGGCAAAAAGAAAACCTTTCTCTCTCTCTCTCTCTCTCTCTCTCTCTCTCTCTCTTTCACTGTCCACTCTGCCTGTCCAAAAAAAAAAAAAAGGGTATACCAATGTGACTGAAGTACAAGTAATGCTTAACAAGCCCAAGAAACTACTAAATGGAAGAAAATGATAATAGCAAGTATGTTCAAAACACACAAGGTGGAGTGGGTTAGAAAGGGATGGAGCTAAAACAAGTGAATGATAAAAGTATAGGGATAACTTATTCAGCTAAAATATGGAAAGTGCAACACAGTTGAAATAAAGAAACATAACCGTAGATGGCAGAACTAAGTTAATCATCCCACGCAGGGACAATTGCAAACCTTTGGGCTGAGGCAGCGAACACTCGTGAAGTGTTTCTGTGGGGCAGGTGTCTGGTCTCGTCAGAATCATTTCATTGTCACAAGCATTCTGTGAAATAAGGACAAAGGTTAGAGCTGTATCCTAGGTGGTTATGCTGAGCCTTGGAGGCGGTAAAGAAAGTAATGCAAGTTAGATGGAACTCGGGTGGCCAAATTGGGACCGGAAGCAGGTGTATTCTGGGCTGTCTGTAGACATGCGATGTGCTTCCCACTGGGACGTTCGAAGGAGGCTGGGGTTTTCCGGAGGAGCTCTATGAGCTGAGATCTGCCGGGCCCGAGGCCTCAGGCTCTCCCTTGGGCTAACAGGTCCCTTAGGTGTTTTCCAGTTACTCTCAAAGGTGAGGCTGCAGATGCCCTGGCTGTTCTCACTGTGAACTTCTGTTCCACATCCTGAGAACCACGAAGGTGCATGTAAGGTGCGGGTAAGAAGGATATAGGCCTGGGAGCCAGGGCAGAGGTGGTTTAAACAGGTGATGTCATATATGGAACAAATCCATGCAGGCGTGTGTGTTTGTGTTCCTATTGTGTACTGGAAACTCTGGAAGTCCTGAAGATTGGGGACTCAAAGAAACATAAAAAATGAGATTACCACCTGAAAGGTGAAACCAACTGAAAAACAGACAAGTGGTGATGGAACGGTGTGTGTCTTCCAGGCCCAGTAGAGATGCCACTGGTCCCCCAGGCTTGCACTGCTATGCCCCAGTTCCAAACCCAAATGTGTCACTTGCTTAGGACAGTCCCACGGAGCTTGCTTCCCAGTGCTCTCCTGACTGTGATGTTCCCTTGCGGTGTCTGTGTCTTCCTCTAGTGGGTGGTAGCCTCCCTGGGGTGAGGGACCTTGATGGACTCTCCTGCTTTCCTGTGAGCATGGCACCTGATACACCTGCTGCTAACAGAGTTTGGGGCAACAGCTGGGAGAATGACCAGGGAAGAGCATCACTAGAACAACTGTGTGGGCCTTAGAAAGGGGCGGTGAGAGAGAAAGGGGATTGGGCTGCTTTCCCATCATGAGAGCCAAACCTTTGTGTTTGGTGCCCCCGACTGTCTCCCTTGTTCCGCCGGTTCATCGAGGCTGATGATGGATTATCAAGGATTTGGAATGCAGCAGTGGAAGTGCCTGGACCCTGAACTCAGGGTGCAGGGCGCAAAAGGGAGCCATCAGCCTGACCTACCGAAAACCCATCCCTCCCGTTCCTGCCTCTCTTAGCTTGCAGCCCCCTAGGGTAGGCTTGCCAGTACATGCATCTGTGATAAACGCTAGTGCCCTTTGGAGGAGAAGTCCCCTTTGTCACTTTCGTTTCTGTCCCTAGGCCCTTGCACCATGTCTCAGCCTAAGCAGGCATTCAAAGTGCTTGGTGGAGGAATGGATTTGTGTCCTAGATACAGCCCTGAGTTCTGTCTGGTGCTCAGGGATTGCCCTGATTTTGCAAGGAGGAGGGACTAGTCAGGGAAACTGAGGCACGCTTATAGGTTAGAGTCCTCCTCACTCCCCCTGGCTGCAGTGAGACACACACATCTTCAGCCTTGGTGTCATGATTTTATCTGTTGAAGCTGCAAATAAGGATTTTGTGTGTGTTTTGAGTTCCCGCTCCATTTCTAGAGAACTCCTGCTCTCAGGCTGTGGTGAGGTGAGAACTGAGCTCTGAGCACTACCTCTCAGTCCTGGGGGTCCCGTGCCGCAAAGTGCCCCTCGTGGATTGCATCTTTTCAGCTGTTTGCAAAACAGCCAGGGAGCAGATGAAGCCCTGAGCCAGGCAGCCTGGCTGTCTCTTTAAATGCCGGGGTCTGTGTGGGAGAGGGCGGGGCTGGCTCTGGAGTGCGTGAAATTCCTGGGCTCCTCGGCAGTCTCAGGCTCCCAGCTCAGCCCTACACATCTCTTGCGTGCGACTCGCTGAGAGCGAGAGCGAGAGGCGGCGGCGTGTCCTCCCCTCTCGCAACCCAGCCGCGGCATCTCCAGCCACCACGGATCTGCTTCTCGCACCTCCAACGTCCCCTCCCTTCCTCCCTGCCACTCCCTCCCAGAAAGAGAAAAAGAAAACGAGCGAGAAAGATTCTGGAATTTGAATCTTCCCAAAGAGGAAACATACCCAGCAAACTCAGTTGGTTAAGCATCAGACAGACAGACAGACAGATCCCAAGTCTTCTGTGCAGCTGGAAAGGTAAGATCTGGGGGCAAGGAAGGCTGGCAGGATTTGAGACAAGTCAAGGTCCTGGCCGTTACTGGAAGAGATTGCTCCTGAGAGGATAGAAGTTTTCAGTTGGGAGCGACCAACCTAGATTTTTTTTTTCTTTAAATGCTGGATCCAAGAGCCTGGGCTGACCACGGAACGGCTTTTCTGCTGCCTTTCTTTTCCTCCAGTTTCTCCTGGAAGTTGGATCCTTTCGCTCCAGATGTTGGAAAAGTCAGAGAATGTTTTAGATTTTTCTTCTGCTTTTCATGGAGTCTTTCTCCTATTTGCCTGGCTGGCTAGTCTGAAGCCATGAGTGCCCATTACTTCATGGTGTACAGGTACTTTTTGACATTCTGTAGCTACTTTCCCCTGTACCGCCCTCCCACCCCCCGCCCCTTTCTGGGGAAGGGGTTGGTTAAAATAAGAAAAGAGGGACACTCTGAAGATCCCAAGGAAACAAAATTGAACCGAGCCAAGGATTTCCCTAGCTGTTGAGGAACTGAGGTGTGTGAGAGTGAGTGTGAGAGTGAGTGTGTGTCTGTGTATCTGTTTGATTTTTCTTCTTGAGGGGGTGTGAGGAGGTGGCTCTTGAGTATGTGTGTTCCGACTGGACTCCGGCACCGTGCCTGTGAAGGTGGGCACACTTGGGGAAGGTGAGAAGGGAGTGTGTGTGTGTGTGTGTGTGTGTGCGCGCGTGTGCGCTCCCGTTTGGATCCGTTACAAGTGAACCTTCCTCCCCGGCCTTCCATTTGTTTATATTAATGATTTAGTAGCAGGCTTGCCTGAAAACTTCCACTCTGTGCAAGCTCTGTGGGTTTTGCAAGCTCTCAGTGACCTTAAAACCTGGTTCGATGCATTGTTTTTTCGAGACATTGTATTGTACCCAGAGTTTCGGCTCTTTCCCTCTCTCTTTTTTAAACCACAAAACTTAACTGCTTTAGAAGCATCATCCTGATGACAAGGAAAAAAATATCTGTCCCCCAACCCCCATGCCTCCCTAGGCCAGTGATGTAATACCAACCTATGTGCTCGGCTGCTTTGCAGGTGACTTGACCTGTGATTATTTGTTTAAAAAGATACATTTCTCCCTCCTTCCCTCCATGAAATGCCTGCCTTTTTTTTTATGTGCATTTAGAAATGTCATCATGCGATGAGAAAATTATATTTTTGTACATCACTAATTAGGGTTTAGGTAAAGAAGGATTTCTCTTCCCGATCTTTATGAAATTTGCTTCTTTGAAATGCAAAGGTCAGAGATCATTGGGAAGTAGCCTAGGATAGAGCCAGTCACAGTCAGACCCCAGAAGAGAGCCGATGAGAACAGGGCTGGCTTCACCCCGCTTCCTCCGGCTGTTCCCGCTTTGGGGAGATACTTTTTCTTTTTTACACCACAAGTCACCCCAGCGTTCTGAATCCTTTCTCTGCCTTGAGTCCTGTGGATGGTTCTGGGGGGGAGAGGGGCAACCCTTGTCACACCTGGAGGACAATGTAGTTTCGGGGGTCAGATGACCATTTGTCTTTGTGGTGAAGGTTCTAATGGAAATTTGAACTCCCAGCGCGCCGGGGGACTTGGTACCCGGGATAGTCTATCTGGGGGCAGCTGGAGGTGAGTCTGGGAAGCCCGGAGAACTGGCCCTTTCTCAATCTGCCCGTGGTGGGAGAGCCTCCCGTCATCATGCAAGGGCTCCTGCATTGCCTTGCGAGTTAAAATGGTCCCACTGGTTACGATGGGCAAGTTTACCTAGGGGCTACTGGGTACGTGTCGTCAGGATGTGGCGGGGAGAGCAGAGATGAAGCTGGTATTTTTTTTTTTTTAATCTTCGTGCTTAATCTGCCGAAGTCGTATTGGGGCAAACGATATTTCAGACGGGTGCTGGTCGTGCAGAGATATTCCTATTGTTTGGTGTTTTTGTTGTTGGGGAGTGGAGTGAGGGCTCTTGGCCCATTTCTGCAGCCCAGGGCTCATCCTGCGAGCCAGTCTTCCTTCTGGAAGAAGGGAAAAAGGCTGGACGCTGGAAGTTCGCTATTAAAGTGAGCAACAGGGCTGGGTTAATTTTTCTAAAACAACTGGACTGTGCGAATACCCTTTTCTGGAGCTTTCCGGCCCCTCCTGGTGAAATAATAATTACGAAAAGAAAAATATCTCTTAATAAGTGGGGCCAGAAATCAAAGGGATTCTAGATTTTGAGAGACAACTGCATCTTTGCTTCCCTGGTAGCTCCCTGTTATTGATGACTGGGGGTTTGATGGGGATCTGGCCTCCGTTTTTGTTGATTTCTTTTTAATGCTGCGTTTCTACGGACTATGTTGATGATTTGCTGCTTATATAAGGGAAAGGATGTATCGAGGTGGATTGATGCTTGGGGTTTTGAGATCGGCTACTGAGATTGGGTGGCGGTTGGTATGTTTGTCGATATGCATGGTAGGAAGGTCTTTTCTTTTGGGTGGTAGGGGACAAGGGATGGTTGGAGAATGGTAGATGAGATGCTACAGCAAATGGGGACGTGAGGGGGATGGAGGTGAGGTCGGAAGTCACTGGTTTGCAGGATTTCTGTCCTGCATCCCTCTTTCTCTCGCTCCTTGAAAAAAAAAATCCATTATCTCTAAAAACACATTATTCTTCAATTGGCCTTTTAGAGGGAAAAAAGAGAGAGAGAGAGAGGGAGAGGGGAGGGGTTAATTTGGTGAGGGGGCTTGGTTGTAATTAGCCCACTGCTGCAAAACTGAGATACAGAATTCCAGCGGCACTGGCTTTGGGGGCACGGAGAGGCAGCAGAGAGATGGGGGACGGTGTCGGTCTTGGAGGAACAGTGGAGCGGTGGGGTTGGCATTTGGGTATTGTGTGTGTCTCTGTCTCCGTGTGCATGCAGTTCTTTCTACCCCACCACCAATTCCCCCTTCATCCTCTCTCAATCCTGCCATGATCTTGCGTTTTATTTCCACACGCCGCTGTCCCTACCCCAGGCACCCCCTCCCCCTTTCCTCCAGCCCTTTCTGTCTCCATGAGAAAATTCTGATTCTGACGGCTCTGCGGCTCTTTTTTTTCCCCCTTTTTTTGCAACACCACAGTGGTGCGATGCCCTTTCCTCCATGCCACACGGATGCAGCCTTCTGATAGGAGGGCGAAGTCGGCACATCCACACACGCACTGGCACACACTCTTGCACACACACACACACACAGGCGACCAAGGGCTTGATTTCGTTTGGTTTCGTCCCCTGGAGCTCCTTTCTCTACCTCTACCTCCACCATGGCGCCTTTCCCCATCTTCATACGGGGAATGCAGTGATGTGATAACCTCCTCTTCTCCCCACAACGCTCTCTTCTTTCTTTTCGCCATTATTCTCTCCCGAAAGCTGTGGCGTGTCGCAGTTCATGGGATTAGCATGTTGGATAGTCTTTGGGGGAGGGGACTTCATAGGAGGGGATGGGAATGGGGGTAGATGACATTAATGACTTTTTTTTTTTTTTTTTTTTGGCCAAATAAGCACCCGGTGATAATGATCCAATTTAACCATCCATGAAATATATGTTTGCCGCAGATCAGGGGAAGGTTACGGGGGAGGCAGAGCCTGGACTGCTGAGCTCTGGGGAGATGTGGTGCCTGGACGGTGTTCAGAGCCCCCTCCCTCCATGCACGTGGATACTCTGTCACACACACACACACACACACACACCAACACACACGGCTCCCATCAGGGGCTGTGTCAAACCAGAGGGCACTGCAGAATATCCCAGAGTTGCCATGGTCTGCTGGGGTGATGGAGCGATGTCTTTGTCCTAGCCAGCTCTCTGCTCCATGCCCGATGCTGGGGCTTGACACTCTTGGTGGCCTTTGTGTTGCCTTTTGGGAGGGGGCTGGAGGGGTGTTTGTGTTTTGTCAGACATCAGCATGCCTCCAATTGGACAACATGGGATTGTCAAGCTCCGTGTGTGGTTCAGGCAGGAGACTGCATGCCGTGTTGCGCCGAGGGGCTACGTGGGTGTTGGATTTGTACAGGCAGGTGGCTTTGGAGAGGTGGGCTGGTGGGGGGGCGGGGGAACTTACTTTCCCTCCCTGGGGTGTGGGGTCGGTGGGGGGGTAGGCAAGAGGCAGGGGCTGTTCAGTGGGGGAGGGAGGGAAATAGAGTCTTCAAGGTAGTGAGGGGAGGGTGGAGGGGAGTAACCGCTCCCTGGCTCCCGCAGGAAGCCTCCAATGAGATCCCCTCGTCCACCAAGCAAGCCCGTGGGCGGGTGTGCTCATGGATGACGGGTGGGCGGATGTAGACCAAAGAGGGAGAGCGACAAGGTGGGCGAAATTGAGGGTTTCCCCCACCACCTCTCCGGAGCCCCGGGCTGCACTCCGGAGGACGGCCCTGCCCTCCCGGCTGCAGCCACCTCTGGGGCGGCTTGGCCTTGTTGCAGGCTGCCGCTCGCAGCCCGCAGCCCGCAGCCCGCAGCCCAGAGGGGCTGAAGTCCACCTCGGCTCTGACAGCAGCCCAAGCCCCTGCGTGCTCCTGGGCTCTGGCTGCCTGCACTGCCAGACGCCATTTTCCCTTCTCCTTCAGCTAAAGGTGTGTCCCTCTTTATTAGCAATTATAAGTGACATTGGAAAATATTTTGCCTAAAAGAAAAAAAAATCCTCAGAGCAAAATGGTTGATTGTCCTCCCTTCCCTGGATCCCTTTTCCTTCCTGGTGCTGACCTTGAAGAGTTGGGGAGAGGGGGTTACGTCATTGCCAGGGAAAGGGGCAGGATGCCCCAGGGGCAAATGATTGTGCCAAAGGCAGGGGGGAGATGGCTCCTGGGATCCCCCCGGCACTGAACCCCTCACGTGACCCCTGTAGTGTAGATGGGAGACTTGCAAGGGGAGAAGCACCCCTCTTGAGGCTCGCCTAGAAACATCCTGGCTGGGTGCGTCTGTCCATGCTGTGGTCAGGCCCCGTGTCTCCCGAGCACGCACCTTCTGGGGAGGAACGGTCCTACCGCTTCTCTGACCCTTGAGGGCCG